TGTCGACTGCGTAATGTGATTACGTAATTCCTTGGTATCGTTTTTTTAAATAAGTATTAATATACATAAATCATTTTATCTATTGATTTTTGTTGGATATTTGTGTAAATCGCATCAAAGATTCTGAATACATCCGGAAATTTAATAATAAAAGGAACTCTCATATGAAGCAAATTTAAAAAGACAAATTGAGTAATTTACTTTACATATCAATTCCGTATAAGATTTTGTAATAAACAAAAACAATGTGAGATAACTTTTAAGGATAATCATTGGCTGTAATAAAATACATAATTTATCGTAATTCCGCATTATATTGTTAATTGAACACTTTCCCTTAGAACATAAGGAAGTGAATATAAAGTCATCAATACAAAAATATTACTACATATAATATTTCATTCAGGTTAAATTATATTTTTTAACGTCAAATGTTAATAAGAGCTAACATGTATGAACTTCGATGCAAGGCTGGAACATTACGTAAGAGTCAAACAACAATCATCCTTCAGTCTTGGAAGTCATGTGACATGATAATGATGCCAAATGACCTCCCAACCCCTTTTTATCGTTGACAAAGGATGTACAGAATAGCCGACTTATTGCTAAATTGCTAAACGGAATTGATATTGTTTAAGTGTTTTTTATTATGGCGTTGTTGTTCTACGTTTAGAAACTTGTTATAAAATCTAATCCTAATTCTTAATACGAAAAGAGATTAATAATCTATGTTTCCGAACATGTCCATTTATAAAATTAAACTTACTTGTATAAGCTTTCTATTAAATAGGTTTAAAATAATAAGTACATTATAATTTTAGACACTAAGGAATAAGGGCACCGATTTATTCATTTGTCTATTTAAGATAACACATATGCACACACACAAACAAATGAGTACAATTTAATTAATGCACACATAGTTTTAGTTTATAAGATTATTAGGTGAACAAATCAATTTCTTTATATGGGTCAGATCAAAATTACCGTAAAATAAAAAAATACCTAAGAAAAGGTAGCAAACGTTAATTGATTGTAGGTATATGATTTAAAATATATTTGTTTTGGAACCTTTAAAAAATATGTTACTTTAATTTAAATTTCAATTAAGAACAAACAACTGCTATTGTCTTAGTAGCAAAGATTACATAACGGCGATAAAATTATTGTAGATAATTAATTTTCTATTCTATTGCTATTACACAATTGAGTTATTGTTTTCGAACGAATTTTATTAAAGGAACATTTTATAATATAAGATATACAAAAATATAAGACGCACTAAAAACAAAACATCACCTTATTTCAATACATAGGCACTGATTTATTTTTGATTTTAAAATCGAAAACATGATTCTTATCCGATCACGAAATCAAGGTCGAACCACAAAAGATTCAAATCATAAAATACTGATACTATATTTTTTATCTGTAATTTTGTGAATGCGAATAAGTAACTACTCAATTACTATGTAAAAAAAAAACTTTTCGGTTATACGTAACACAAAAACTTTATGATAATCATAAAAATGTTACTAGGAACTAGGTTCTGGATAATGGATATAAACAAATATGTTTAAATCAGATAAAGGTAAGAGTAGCTGTTTAGAAAGAAAATGCTTTTAAATTCACATACAATGTAACGTTATAATATAATTCAAGGGCCAAACATTTATCCAACGCTCATTGTGGTACATCAAAGTTTAAAAGTTATAACACCATGTTATGGAGAAACATGATTATTGATTTAATTATAATTATTCTGAAAACTATAACTGTTTCGAGCCAATAGTTGTCATGCTCCAATAAAGGGACGGCTTAGCGGAACGGACTGTGTGTCCTTAGAACGTGTGTATAAACCCTGACTTTACTTAGATCATGTCAAAACGTAAAAAATACAATTACTTTATGATATACTAGCTGCGCCCCTCGTCATTACCCGCGGATTTTCGGGAAGTAAAGTAACCTATGTGCTATTCCTGGACGTCAGCTTCCTGTATACAAAATTTTATCAAAATCGGTTCAGCCGTTTGAGCGTGAAGAAGTAACAAACATACACACACATTCACAAACTTTCGCAATTATAATATTAGCAGGATTATCCTAATATTAAAAACTTTTTTGAGATTTGTTTTGTCATACGTATCTTTAAATAGATCATAGTGTAAAAGAAAACCACTTTGTAACACACTTACATAAGTCATAACATTGTGAAGTATAAATGTGGACAGTAAAATAAAAGGCATATTGCAAAAACAAACAATAAAATTAATTTTTATGACGTATGTTACTCAATTGTTATTTTAAAATTACAGTTTTATGCGTGACTTGAAAGCGAGTACGGTGTTTTAAAACAGAGAGAAATGATTTGTCGTAAATCTTATGTAGGTATACTTTCAATATACTTTGTTTTTAGGTACAATTCGTGTCTTGAAATATCTTAATAGTTCTTTCATTTCCATTCGTAAATTACTGTACTATTATACTATACTTCTTCTTTTTATTACGTAACAAAAAATCAGACACGTTCTTATTATTTAAACAGCGTTTGCGTTCTTTTTTTTTACTTCTGAGTGTACATGTATTGTTGTGGTATAAATTAAGAGACTATTGTAGATGTGTATATAAAAACTTTCCTTCCATACTTTGCAATGATTAAAAAAATTACCAAGACTCTAAAAAACTCTAAATCAACTGTAAATATTGAAATAACCATATTGAAATATACAATTTATAATACCTTATACAATATGCCTAATTTTTCTTAAAACAATATTCTCTAAAAATAATAGGAGCCTGATGTTAATATAATAGTTCGTGTAGTATCTATGTTATTGCTTTATAAATAGTGCAGGCGCGAATTAACAAGATTACATAACTCTTGTATATTATTTGGATACGACCTTACTATAACTGACAGATCACGACTTTAACTGAAGATAATAGACGACACCTATTATTAATTATTATTTGTTATTTAAATGTGAGTTCTTTTTGTTTTAAATGTAAATTATCACGCTATCTGCAATTATTCATTTGTAGCTGTTAAAACGAAGTAACGTAATAAAACTGTCGCCTATTTTCATGTGATTTGTCTGAGTAATAGAAAATATAAATAAATAAAGATACGATAAGCTACCAAGTATGTTTTTTTATGAGTAAGGTGGCAAACGAGTAGATGGTCTACTTGATTGTCAGTAATCAGTAATCACCGACGCCCTTGAACATATTGTTACGGATGCGTTGCCGACCTCGGTGTTTGAAGAAAGCTCTCACTCATCGGACAAAACGCAGCCATTAAAGGCTTCACGCCGATCTCCTGTGAGAGGCGGTACTTCTACAGACTCCAGACTACAGATATTCTCTACCACCTGTTGTATACGTAAAAGAGTATTTAAGGGAGACCGAGTACGGTTGGAACTTTTATTCTTTATTGTAATCCGTATCCGAAAATACATATACATATTTATATATTACGTAAAAACCCGTATATCTTTTAATGGTCACTGTCATTTGAGATTACTGCATTGTATTTCATGTGTACATAAAATCAAATTAAAAAAAGATATTTTGTTTAAACGTCTGCACACCAGAATCCGTTGAAACAGTGCCTAGGGTCAGTTGAAATTCATGCAAATAAAACAAACTATAATAAAAAATACCTTAATAAATCATCTAATAACTTTATAAACATATGAAACCATTCTTCGCCAGGCATTTCGTTCCACCCCAAGTCCGAGGTCATGCTAAAACGTACTTGATGGTTATTGGTTAGTTCTAATTAAATCACTAGGTAGCCCCCGTTCTCGTCCCCGACTTCGCTTCGTTTTAACAGTCTTTTGTTTTAACCGTACTCAGTCTACCCTACTATTAAATGAACCACATAATTAATGTTGTTTTATTTTACTCTTATTATTTATTTAAGTCTTTTAACGAACACTTGTATTTTGTCTTCCAGTCAACTGACTACAAATTACTTCAAACTTTAAATGAAAAACAGGAGTTTAATCATAAAAATTAATAATATTTAATACAAATAAAATAAAATAGGTAAATAATTAACCATTTTGAAAGTTTGAAGATGAAATTAATTACGATATTATAATAACGTCTAACTCTTTATCTAATTTTGACAAACAATTACAACATTTATTAATATGTAGGTTTTGAGAGCATTTACCTGAAAACAAATAAAATTTTTAAGATGTTTGTCCTTCATTGTACTTAATAGACAGTTAACCTGATTTTTCTGTTCATAAAACTTTACTTTTAAGTGCCAATGTAGATATATTATTATTAAGACTAGTGATGTTATTACTTCTACTTATATAATATCAGGGATTTACTCGTTAGAAAACTAGGACATTTTACAAAAGATTTTTTGATTGAAATTATTATTTATAAATAAGCAAATTCAATAACAATTTAAAATATTTATAATCTTTTGTCTCTTTACTGAATAGGTTAAAAAAACATGTGAAAGCGATATTTAAATTACATTTCCATTTTGTCTTTTTATCTTGACCATAAGTAATGATATTCTTTAAATATCATAAAGTTTTTTTCACTAATGAAAACACCTCAGCAAGAAGAGCCCGTTCGATTTCGCGCCATTGAATCTAGGGTTGATGTATTCTTTCAATCGCTAAAGGATTTTGGTTCATCATTAAGTTATTTACATTTTTACAAAGGCCCATTTTCAAAACTCATACTACTGCAATGTACAGTTTACAGCTAAAGATGAAATATTGTACCAACGATATGGCAAACCCTAAATTAGTTTGTTTTCAAATGAGAATACTTATTGTTAATCTTTCACGCTGTAGTATTTACTAACTATTTACACCTAAAATCCCATAAATTAGATAAGATAATGCCAGTTGTTTTGAAGATACAAAGTAAAGAATGAGTTTTGCAATACTATTCTATAAAATCATAGTTTTCTATCGAGGTTCTCATAGTGAACACGGCTATCGTTAACGTGTACCTACTTGTCCAAAATGAAGTTAATTTTGATCGTAACTTTCGTTGTTTCGGTAAGTCTATTGTTAACCCCAAAGTGAGGTGTTTATAAGTTGTTTTATTTAATACTCCCAGCATTATTAATTTTTTTTTTTATCAAAATTTGAGTTGATTTCCCTTTTTAATTATAATTCATTACTGTCATTTTCTGGCTGAAAATTTTGTTTATGAATAATGATAATCATGTTTTAGGTTTCCTTATGTCTTGGAAGCCCAACGGATACAGCTTTACTGATTCGACAACGCCGTGACGTCGACTTTTATGCTAACACGAAGTAAAACTTGAGAATTGGTTATTTAATTAGGAAAAGTAGGAAAACCTGAATTAAATATGTATTTCGTGTACCTCTTTACAGGTCTCTTATTCAAGAGCTTGTCACGAATCTAAGGGCTTCAATCCAACAGGCCTCTGAGGCAGTTTCTAAATTTTCAACCGGACTTCAAGATATGGGAACACAGTTCGGTGAACAATTATCTAACAACGTTGAAACATATAGGAGCCGTATTAGAGCCTCTATTAAAAGTGTTACAGACAGATTCACAGGGGCTGGAGCTGGAGTACGAGAATGTATCGATGTGAGTAATAATAATAATAATGTTTTTGCCAACAATACATTAGAAATTCTCCTATATGTCTACAAGTACTTGTAGCGCGTGTGTGTGTGTGTGTGTGTGTGTGTGTGTGTGTGTGTGTGTGTATGTGAATGGGGACTTATAGATTATCATTGTAAAAGGTCTTCAACTAGCAAATCCTGGAGAAACAAATGAACCACAATGAAACCAAAATCTGTAATGGTTTTTACAGACATCTCCTTTGATTTTCAACCAGCAATTCTTACTATTTAGGTAGGTCAATTTGTAGAACAGAGACTTTTTTTTATAGAACCATCGCCAAGAGGCCGAAGACTTATTTAGTGGCATCATAACCAAATCAAAGGCTTGTGCTGATGAACGCATTAAGGAGATAAGAGATATGATTAACCAACTAAAAGAACTGTCTGCTAATGCGACAGACTACACAATTTCTGCTTTGGCAGAAATGCAAGGTTGCACTCAAAATTCCGCTGGTATTTTGACAGCAGGAGCTTGTTTGGGCGGTGTGGCTGTCAGAACTGAGCTCAAAGGAGCAGTATTTGTTGTTCAAAGTGGACTCTTAGTAAGTTACTAGATTAAACGTCAATATTAAATGAAACATTTTTTTCGGATTAGTACCTACGCGTTATTTTATTTGTTTTAAAAGCTACATACTCTCGACGTTTCGGTTACTTTGCAGCAACCGTTATCACGGGCAGACGAGATCACGTTTCGTTGTAATTCGAAAATATTAGTTTCATTTAAATTAATATTTGACAAAAATCTTAGATCTCATTACCTTCAATATTAGCTGAAATGTTATATTAATATTTCAAACTATTTTATTACTTATACATTTCTAATAACATCGCATGCACATTTTCAGATTGCCAGAATCAATTTATCCCTATCAACATTACCAGCTGCTCTTGAAGTGTGTGCTGGGACACGTATCGTCGAAGCAGGAATGGGTTCAGCTAAAATTGTCTTTGAGATTGGAAGCTGTTCTGCTTCTTCTGCTTACTCTTCCATTATAGGAAACAAAGTCACCAATCCTTGATATGAAATGAATTGCTTACAGTAAATTGTTTAAAATGATATTATAAAGATTACATATATGTTAAATACTTCAGTTTTTTCTTTAAATTTTCAAATTTAAATTGATAAAGAGAAAATGCAATAAAAACACAGTAAGTACCTACTGTTATTTTGCTACCAAAAAGTTCGATTTGAAATAATTAAACCGACCTTAATCATAATAATCCTTCCAGTCTATCCTTCAAGACTGTATGAATAAAATTAGTATTTAATTAAAAATGTAATATTTAAGCATTATGCAATTATTAATTACAATTGAAAAGCTAAAACAATTAAGATTGATAAGACATGATAACATTTATTTTATAAAAAAACAAACATATCTCAAACTAGACCTGTTGCATTTAAGTTTATTTCGATAAAATAATTGTCATTAAAACAATCAGATGTTATTGAAATTCTTTTTTATTACTCAAATTAAATGATTACAATAACAGCGTTACAAACTTTAGCCATAACTTGATTACTATAAATGTAAACATATCAAAAATAGCTTGGCTAAAAGATTTTCTGCTTATATATGAAATTAACGCGGACACATAGCATGTCGGCCTCCATCAACAGGCAATGTAGCACCAGTGATATTACTGGCAGCGTCGCTAGCCAAAAATACTATAGCAGACGATACCTCTTTAACATTGCCAGTTCTTCCCAATGCATGAGTTTCTTTACATCTGATGAGATAAGCTTTATACTCTTCTTCAGTCATAGCTCCTTTTAAATGAATTCCTGTTTCGATCACACCAGGATTAACAGCATTGACTCTCACACCTTTCGGCGCCAGTTCAAGACATACGCATCGTGTAAACTGATCTAATGCTGCCTTCGAAGTACAATAGGCCAGGGTACTTGGAAAAGCTCGCAATCCAGCCAAACTTGAAACATTTATAATATTGCCTTTGCTTTTAATCAAATATGGTACAGCAAGCATAGTCAAATGATATGGAGCCCGAACGTTTGTGTTCATTATAAGATCATATTGATCTAAAGATGTTGTTTCTATAGTACCATAAGACAGTACCCCAGCATTATTTACTAAAACGTCAATTTTATTAAAATGTTTTATTGTGGTGTTTATTATATTTTCGACATCTTTTTCCTTAGTAAGATCAGCTACGATTACTAAAGGTTTTAATTTATTTGGAGAGATTTTCTCGCAATCAAGACAGACTTTGGATAAATTTTTTTCATTCCTTCCAGTCAGAACCAAGCTAGCATTTAATTTGGAAAATTCCAATGCTGTTTCAGCCCCGATTCCTGAACTTGCTCCAGTGATGAGTACAACTTTTCCGGTGAACATCGTCCTGTTTGACAAAAAATAATTAAAATTCACAAACTATTTAAGAAATCCAAAGTGTATTCATATGAATTTTAATTCTTAAAGTGTTAGGCTTATATGCTTTACTCATCTGTTATAAGTTAAAAATGTAATTCCACCATTTCAAAGACATATGTGTCAAAAAGTATAGTTGAAACTTGAATCATATGTAAATAGACAAAATATATAACGTTTATAATATATGTAAAACAGAAAGCAAGCAGTATTAGCACGATGTCGAATAGGAAAAGGTTACGTCTTAATGTATATCAAAGAAATAGATCCAAGTTTAAATAACAGTTTTGTGGTCATCATTTTTATATTTCTTTATACCATTCATTCAAAATTATCACCTTAAGTTTTATAGTGAAACTTTAAGATAATTTTTATTTGGGTACATACTATTCCATATGTTTCATACTAAAGTTGCGTACTTCGTTTTATAGCTAAGATTATTATATACTTTAGATAAGTTTCGGAATGGGAGAGCCCGAATATTGTTTCTTTAACTGAGATAAGAGCCTATACATTAACTATTTAATAAGGGATTTTTGAATTTACCTATGGGAAGATGACCATGGTAGTCTCTTGGATTTCAGGTATTTTTTTTTTAATAATGCAAGGCGGGATGTTTCTCTTTAAAGACGCTTAAAAAGTATCTAGCCTCGGAATAAACGTGGAACCTTTTATATAAATTGCCTATTAAGAAGCGCATTTTATAAGAGATTGTGTTCTATGCAACCGTTATGCTTTGTTTATGGGACTCTTCCCCAAAGCGTATATCCTGAATGAAAGACAGAACATGCATCTTACGTTAGATATTGAATTATTTAAACAACATGACATTAATACTGCCTTCTATCATTTTTATTCGTGCTTGTTTTATAAGAAAAATTAATATAGCTGATAGCAACAAAAAAAAAACAAAGCAATCCCAAAAAAAAAAATTGCGAACAAAACCTTTTACATCAAATATCAAATGAAAAATGAAAGCCATGACATTTTGTTTTTTTTTTATTACCTTTTTGCACGATATTTTATAAGACCTGTATGCATGCAAATTTTTAAAAACACATTAAAAATAATAATAATTTGAAGAGAAATACTTCGTAGTAGAATATTATCATTTATACAATTAAATGAAAGAAAGTAAGGTTTAGAATAAGCAAGCAGGTGTTAGTGTTAAACTTAGGTTTTATAATTTAAAATCACTTATTGAAAATATGCCATAAATAAAAACCAGCAATAAAACATCACTTTTTTATTATTAAATATGATTGCAATAACAAGATATTAATATTTTTGTATCAAAAATCAACGAGGACACATAGCATGTCGGCCTCCATCAACAGGTAATGTAGCACCAGTGATATTACTGGCAGCGTCGCTAGCCAAAAAAGCTATAACAGAGGATACCTCTTTAACATTACCACTCTTGCCTAAAGCGTGAGTGTCTTTGCATTTTGCCAAATAGGCCTTATACTCTTCTTCAGTCATCGCTCCTTTTAAATGAATTCCTGTTTCGATCACACCAGGATTAACAGCATTGACTCTCACACCTTTGGGCGCTAATTCAAGACAAATGCACCTTGTGAACTGATCTAGTGCTGCTTTAGAAGTGCAATATGCAACTATATTTGGAAAAGACCTCAATCCTGCAACACTCGATACATTAACAATATTCCCTTTACTCTTAATCAAATACGGTACAGCAAGCATAGTTAGTTGGTATGGGGCGCGTACGTTTGTATTCATAATGAAATCATATTGATCTAATGATGTTGTTTCTATAGAACCAGTGGCTAATACTCCAGCGTTGTTTACTAGAACGTCTATCCTCTTGAAATTTTTTAGTGTGCTGTTAATAATATCTTCTACATCTTTTTCGTTGGTTAAATCAGCAACAATTTTCAGAGGTTTTAATTTACTAGGGGATATTTCCTCACATTTCAGACTGACTTTGGATAAATTTTCTTCATTTCTCCCTGTTAGAACCAGGTTTGCATTTAGTTTTGAAAATTCCAAGGCTGTTTCGGCCCCGATTCCGGAACTTGCTCCAGTTATAACAACGACTTTCCCGGTAAACATTATCCTGTTTTAAAAAGAAACAATCTTTAGTTTTCTTAAGGTTTAGAATATGGCAACTATGACAAATAATTTTATCAAGTTTCAGAACAGTTATGTATGATTGACAATTGACATTATCAATGTCATTGAAAATTTTAGTTGTACTATTTAAGAAAATTTTGTCACTTTATAGCCACCAGTCACCGCATAGTTTAAAACTACAACAAGACCGGCATTCATATGAAAAATAGCGAACCTACAAAAAAATTCAGTAGAAATCCTACTGAAAGCTACAGATACACAACATACACACTCACACAGACACGGACTTCAAACTTGTAAAACCTCTCTTTTTGCATCCGGGGTTTAAAAGAACATAAAATAGAAATAAAGTATTTCGCCTGTGAATAAATAAAACAGGACATTAGCTACTACACTCCACCTCTTGCTGACCAATAGTTTATTACGAATCATTTGCTCTATTGGTTATATGAAACTTCAATGTTCTAAAATTTTGTTTGTTTGAGAATAATGATTTGTTATATTTATATGTTTAATTAAATAGTAGTACTAATTGTACAGTACTAATAATAATAGTACTAATCTGCAACAAATATCAATATCCTTTTTGAAGCTTTCAAATGGGTTTTCACAGTTTTAGAAAACCTATGGTATATCTGTAGCTGGTTTAAAAAATTACTCTTAATTTATCTCACAAAAAAGTCTCCATATGTGGATGTAAACTCAAATAATCTCTGAATAAAAAATACAAATCTTTTTAATCATCTGACCACAAACTAAATGTTAATGAAATGAAACACACATGTTAAAATACATTATATTGCAAAAATAAGTATTTTAGAGTATAAAATTATTAAATGAGTATTAATTTAATGAACAAATGAATGAATCAAATGCTAAAATTATCTTGGACACATTGCATGACGACCACCATCAACAGGCAGTGAGGCTCCGGTAATGTTGCCTGCTCCTTCACCAGCCAGAAAAGCAATCACTGCTGAAACTTCATTTGCTTCACCAGGTCTACCCAATGCATGTGTTTGTGCACACTTATTCAAAAATGCCTCATATTCCTCTTCACTCATACCGCCTTTTTTATGTAGGCCTGTTCTTATTACACCTGGATTTACAGCATTGATCCTTACACCTTTTGGTGCTAGCTCCAAAGCAATGCATCTAGTAAATTGATCCAATGCAGCTTTAGATATGCAGTAGGCAAGACAATTAGGAAACGATCTCATTCCAGTTACGCTCGAAACATTCACAATGTTCCCTTTAGTTTTTATAAGATGTGGAACAGCCAGCATTGTCAAATGATATTGACTACGAACATTTGTATTCATAACTCTGTCATATTGCTCTAGTGAAGTATTTTCAATAGTACCAGCTTCCAAAACACCAGCATTGTTGACCAGAACATCAATCTGGTTATAATAATTTATTGTTTTATTAATTATCATCTCCACATCAAGTTCATTATTTAAATCGGCCATTATTACTAAAGGCATCTTCTTATATGGAGAAACATCTTGACACCTTAAACCTACTTTTTCTAGTTTTTCCTTGTTTCTCCCTGTGATAACAACACTGGCAGCTTGTTTTGAAAACTCAACTGCCGTTTCCTCTCCAATTCCAGAACTAGCCCCAGTGACAATAACAACTTTATTTGCAAACATGATACCTGTGTGAGTTAATTACTCTCTTTATTGTGTTTTGTAAAATATTCTATACAAAATTGCATGCGTCATAGGAATATGTACATCATAGTGATTATATTAAGCAGGATCATATTATATTGCATCCATACCCTTAAGATTAATATAAAACTTTGTTTCCAAGCATATTTCTATTGCAAGTCAAACACCCAATGACCAAGCAATCTACATGCAATTTCTTAATTTTTCTAGACTTAAATATAGAAACGAAATTAAGAAATGTTGTTTTTGAAATGACAATTAATGAAAATCCTGACTCATTTCTATGGCAGTTATACTTTTATTTTTTCAAAACAGGTTTATAAGTAATATATTATATACATTCATATAACAAACCCTTGATTGAAACATTTTAATAAGTTCTTAAAGTGGACAAGTAGATAAGCTTTCTTTAAACAATAAAACATATTACATCAATATGACTTATAATTGGAGTATATTTTAATAACCTTTAGTTATGATCAAGCCGGCAAGATTTTTTGTTAAGCATTTATTCTAGAAATAACAGTCCTTATCAGTTTCACTTATATAAATAATAGTGGCGACAAGTAGAATTAAATATTTAGTACTTATTCACTTAATCGACTAATAAATAACATTTCACATATCCACTCTAAATGAGTGTTGATAGGAATGAGATATTAATTTACCTTTTAGGTAGATCTCTTGAAGATTTATCACAAATCTGTTGCCGTCAACTAACTTGACTAGCTAATGCAGTAATCTGCTACCTAACACTTAGCAGTAAAGACTCAAGAATGGTAATTATAATAACCTGTCTTATCTTATTTACATTTGTGATAACTTTTATGACTTCATACTACAGAGCATTTATTTTTAATTTCTTACAAATTTTTATTTTTGCTGATGTTCGTTCCGTTCCGAACAGGCAAAGAGAACAAAGCCCATACAGCCATGTCTTTTGTATTTTGTATCTTTAATTATTTTCAAATGTCTTAATCTCCTTTTTTATTCTTGACTCGAGTTTTTATATCAGGCCTAAGCCATGTCTTCTTTTAATTTTCTTCTTAAAACATTTTTTTAATTTTAAGGAAGCAGCCATGTCTTCTTTTCATTTAGTCTTCTTGAATATTTTTGTAATTATAAGGCCGAAGCACTGTCTTTATTTAAAATATTTTTTTTGTCAAATTCTTGTTTTTTTTTTACATTATTTCTTTTTTCAATGTCAAGTCCTTGTAATGTCATTTTTAGTACAATAATTAATTTGTCAAAATCGATATAACAGTCAAATTCTGAAAATAGCTGAAAGCAAATATCTTAAACAAAACGAACAAATTAGTACTATATACATATGTACAAATAACAATTAGATTTCATTTATAGTAGAAACAATAAAGCCATAATAAACTTGCAAGAAGCATTCTTGAATGCTTAGTATTTGCTGAAGGGAGCGCGGGATATTTTCAGCAGTTTTAAAAATACATAAAAGTTGGTCTACAAGGACCATCCTTTGAATACTAAACTGTGGACAATCAAAAAATATATGTTCGAGGGTTTCATCAGCATTATTGCAATATCTACAAGTTGAAGAGTCAAAAACACCAATCCTAAAAAGGTGAGCACCAAAACGACAATGTCCCAGACGCAAACTACAGATTATGGTATAATATTTTCTATGGCTATAGTCACTACCCCGGGTAAACCAGGGGGAAGAGACCTTTTTCTCTATTGTAGCAAACCATTTTCCTTTTACCTTTACCACCTGATGCCACAAGTTGTAAAATTCTTTCTGTAACGTGAGTTTGAATTGAGATAGAGCGTCTGAATAAGGAATTGGGAAATTTAAAAAGCTATGACTTAATTGATTGTGGGCTGGATTTGTAATAAATTTAGCTAAAAAGTCTGCTTGCTCATTACCATGCATACCAATGTGGGCTGGTGTCCAGAATAGGACTATTTGCTTGTTTTGAGACAGTAGGTGATACAACTCTCTTATTTTATATACAGGGTGACTGGTGAATTACTATCAATATTTAAGGAGCATACTCGGTACATGATTCTCATTCGAATTATGTTAAAAAAATAGGTACTTAATTTTTGACCAAATTTCCGTATAAATAAATAAAGTGTGTACACGTTCCAAGTCTTCCAAGTGTGGACGCGTGCGCCGGCGTGCTGATACAACAACACGCCGCCGCGCGCGAGTGTGTGTGCGTGTGTGTAGGGTGTTCATACGATGTGTAATTAATTACATAACTTTTGGTTAACTTTACTTAGAAGTTTATTAATATTTATGTTATATTAATTTTTATTTTGTCATATATGATCGTCAAATATCACGTCCTCAAATATCGATAGTAATTCACCAGTCACCCTGTATAATATAGTTAGTTTTTGAATTTAATTGTGGATTTTGTAGTGCTGTTAATAAACTTAAACTATCCATTATTATAATCCACTTTTGATGAGCCTGTGTTTGAATGTGCTCCATAGCTGTATACACAGCTATGGATTCAGCGGAGTATATGCTTGTGAGTGGATTCAGCCTATGACCAAATCCAGTTTTGACCTGACTATCATAGACAGCTATAGAGACTGCTTCATTGTTCCTAGACTTATCTGTATATATCTGATGATATCCCTGCCACCTATCAAGTTCCCTATAAATGTCTTCCTCATACTTTAGAAGACTTTTGACTACAATTTTAATCTGAATAAATTTTGATTCATATAACCCAGAGTAACAAGTCCATACCATGCTAGAAAATATATTATGTTTATTAAAAATTTGTTCTATTTCAGAAAAACCTTGAAACAAATATGAATTAATATTGGCAGCCCTGTTAATAGTGTCCCGCAGTTTAACAAGAAGTGGATGATTACTAACGGAAAGCAACCTTGCAAAAAATTTTGATTGTAAGTATTTAAACCTAAGTGCTAATATAGGTGTATTACATTCCACCTGCATTGACACTATGGGAGTAGTTCGCGTGGCACCCATTATAATACGCAAACATTTGTTTTGTATCTTTTCTAATTCATCCACTATAGTTGTTACCCCTGCAAAACAAAAAAAAGCATATTCAAAATTACTCCTTACTTATGATTTATACAATGTTAATAGAATCCTTGGATCAGCATCCCAATATGTGCCTGTTAAAGATTTTAAAACATTACAAGCATTTAAAGCTCGAGATTCTAGAGTTTCAGCACACTTATTCCATCTAAATTGTTTGTAAAAATAACACCTAAAAACTTTACAGAGCTCTCTACAGACATTACATTATTATTGAACAAAATATTTACATTCCCATTTCTAATTCCATTTTTTGAAAAGACAACAACTTTTCTTTTTTCATTGCTGACCTCCAGCCCAAGGCTGTCAAAATAGTTCTTTAGTCTTTGGAGAGCAACATTGACGACTGATTGTACACGTAAAAAATTAGTATCAGAGCAATAAACAACTAAATCATCTGCAAACTGCAGATTAGAAACTTTACCCCCTGATGTATGAATAGGATAAAAAGCAATGGGCTCAATACACCACCCTGTGATACACCCCTACAAGAATATCTTGGACCAAATAACTGATTGTTGACCTTAACAAACACCTTTCTGTAGTTCAAAAAATTAAAAATCCAATTTACAACTTTTCCAGGTACCTGTAGTAATCATTATATTGAGGATAATTTGTTCAGATCTACGTTATTGAAAGCCCCTACAATGTCAAGAAAAACACCAACTAGTACTTTATTCTCGGAACGAGCATCGTGGATATCCAGACAGAAATGACGTAGACTCTCACAAGCAGAAAGGTAAAAAATTATTACTTTCTATGTGAAAAATTAATCTCTGTTTTATTAATTGTTCGAAAATTTTTCCAACACATGAACTCAGTGTAATAGGATGATAAGAATCAGCCAAATTAAAATCTTTGCCAGGTTTTAATATTGGTACCATACAGTCTGTTTTCCAATCCTCTGGGATAATAGAAGACGACCATAAACTATTTAATAGACTTAAAAAAAATAGATAGAGTTTGAACATTTAAAAGTTTAAACATTCTGTAGGAAAGCCAATCCAGGCCACATGAAGAATCTTTTCTTGAGGCTAAAGCAGATTTTAACTCTTGCATAGTAAAACAACCGATTATGTATGAATTATCACTATTTTCTCCAAGAACATTATCTATACTTATCTGTTGTGAAACAGTATCCGGTGTGTATTTATATAAAAATGTTTGAACCCAATTGGGGTCAGAAAATAAGTTAGAACTCGGAAAGCTTTTTTTAATTTTCTTATTTTAGTCCAAGATGCGATTTATGATTATAGATTCTTCTTTTAAAGTGCGTATTTTAAAGGCTCGTGCGCGTTTGAAATTCATGTAATTTTTACTATTAAGACTAGTTTTGAAATTAATGTAGGCGTTCTTGCAGTCTTCTACTTCTTTTGAACATTTATCATTCCACCAAGGCACTTGACACCTTTTTCTAGGACGGTTATTATTACTATCAGTTGTGTTATGGTTTAAGCTGGGGCTGGAGAATTTGATTGCCAATAGAATAATTGCACAAAACTTTCTGTATGAGTCAAGGAGACCACTGTTGTCAACTTTAAAGTTCATTAACATTTTATTAACAATTTATTCATAACTATCCCAATTTACTAATTTCAGATTGCTGTGAAAAGAAATGTTGTTCAAGGAAATAGAGGGCTCATGTTGATCTCTTACGAGAGTAAATTTTGTGATAGTTGGCAGATGATAACTGACTAAAGGGTCCTGATGAACTTGCTAGTCACAAGAAAGAAATAAAGAAGAAGACACCTTAGTTAAATCTAGACTGTTTGGTTTCCATATATAAGAGCCTATAGTTGTTGGTTGACCATTATTTCAAAACAATTTTTATAGATCGATTTATTTATTAATTAATATCTATAAAAATAACGAAACAATGGTTGCAGAAAATGCACTTGGATGTGGTGTCCACGTTGGGGGTCACAATTTTGATCTGAAACAAAAAAAACAAAAAGATTATTGATCGGTATATAATTGGCTTTCGTGCTATGGAGGCTTTTTATTTTTTATTTTTTTTTTGCAAAAAAATGGCGCCGGTTTGAACAAAAAGTATCGATTTTAGCATTTTTTTTTTGGCAGTTTTTTTTTACAAAAAAATAGGAAGATGTCACAAAAAAAAAGCTTCCATAGCACAATAAACAATGAGGTTAAGAATATTGTGTAAAAAATTCAACTCTATAGCTTTAAAACTCTGCCCTCCAAGTTGGACACCGTTTTGAAAAATGTTGTTTCGAGAAAAACGCGTTCAAAGTTTCAAGTGAGGAAATTTTAGGTAAATCGTTTACTCACGGCCAATCAGCGATGCCAGGTCCATACAATATCCCTTCTGCTTCTTCGAAAAGATCGTGCTCGATGGATTGTTCAGTCCGACGAGCTGTCCTCGCCTCTTTGCTATCCAGGGACGCCCGGCGGTTTGCTTGGGTGATGTGCGCATTTTTGTATTTTGCGGCGAAATGTGCGGCGCTCGGCCCTATCGTGCATGCCATCGTCTCCAAAATTTTTAAAATCGGGTCGTAACCTTCATTGAAGGTGCACACAGCACACTGCGTAGCGATTTCCACTATCTGCTTGCCGCAGAATACGTGCTTCGGGGCTAGTTGCCACACACAGTGATTGAAGCTCTCGTTATTGTTTTGAGTGTTTGCGCCCGTACATCGTTCTAAGAGATCGTCCGTTGTTAGATCTTCGTAAATCGGCTTCAAAACTTGTTGTACGTCTTCGTCGAGTGCTGGTGGATGGGTGTACTCCTCTCCTGTGGCCTCGGCCTTGCGCCATTCGCACCACGAATCTTCTCCCGGAGGGCAATACTCATGCTGAGGATTTTCATCAGTTGAGCTTTTGTGATAAAATGTAGCCCATATGGCTTTCCTCATATTTTCCACGGAATTGGAATTTCGACGAACTGCCAAGCCATAATATTCGGAGAGATTTGTCAATAATTTTAACGCCAATTGCGCTCTTTTCGGTTCAACAGCAGTTTTTTTTGTTTGATTTTTTTTATTTTTCGGAGTACTCGAACGAGATCCTTTTTTTTTCGGTTCACTCTCCATTGCCTTGTCTTCGATTTGCTTTTTGGCCTTTTTTAGTTGAACTAACCTTTTTCTTGCTTCGTTTCCCCTTTTATACACTCGCTTTTTCACGTGCAAAACGCATTCCTTTTTGTTTACCGTCAAATCGTCACCGTACGGCTTGGCTTCTAGTAACATCTTGAATGTTTTTGTATCGCCGTCTCCTATATAGAAACCGTATTTCGCGTTGTGCAATTCTTCTGATCTCTTGAATATTTCGATTAAACCGTCGACTTCCATTTTTCCCGCGCTGCCTTCGTGATTGACGTTGCATTCGGATTCATGCGTCTCAAACCACGCCTCGTACTCGCGTGTTCCCTCTTCTCCTTTCCAGGATGCACAAGCCTTGCAGAAGCTTGATTTCACAGCAACATCCAAAACTTTGTTGGTATATTTTCCAATCACGGAGACGATACCCATGCGCGACGTGAAACCGCGTTTCGACCACGATCCATCACCGGACACCGTCAGAATATCGCCCCGATTTTCTGCTTCCAAAGTTTTTTCCTTCTCTTCGGTACCTGCTTTTTTCACGACGGCCTCGTATATTGATTTCACTGCAATCTGCAGGACTTTCACGATTCCATAATAGGTATTATTATTGAAGTTTGCAGTTAAATCCATCAAGGCGATAAAATTTCTAATGCCATTTATGCCGATGCCGATCATTCGCATGACAAAGCAGAAACGACGATTGATTTTATAAGCATTTTTTATCAAAGGGCAAGAATCTATCTCGACCGGATCTGGACACGAACACTGAACACAAATTATAAAGCCCAATCCGCGAATCGATTTTTTAAAAAACTTCACGTCGCTATTGCACTTTTTGCACTTCAACAGTTCCTGAAGAGCGCCGAAAACCAAAAAGAACTCCAAAATCACATAACTAAACGTTTGATCGATTCGAACTTCAAACTCTGGACTTTTTTTCGAGATTTTTGGTGCCGAAGTGCTCGCAAACGTTGGATCCGTTTCCATATCGTGTCGATTTGTTCCCTTGAAACCCGTGGATCTTTTCCGTTCATTTCGCGGATGTCCGCTTCTCGAGCCTTTTCTATCCTGCCACGCACATTTCTTTTTCGTAGATCTATCCATTTTGAATGTCGAAACCGAACTGAAAGACGAACCGGGCTTACGTTGGAAGGGACACGAGCAGGTAGGAAAGAGACAATAGAAATAACGGTCGCACGGGCAGCCGGCCGACACGGCAGCTGTAGCGCTCCGTTGCCTTCTTCCAAGAAATGCTGTATTAAAAGTATTAAGTCATGGTCATCCATGGAATCCATAATAGCTCTGCCCCGAGAATCTATGCGACTACAGCCTACAGCCCCAAAAAGTATGATGGGCGCTAAAATCGCCTGCAATTATTATCAACGGTTTTGGAATACTGTGCAATAAACGATCGAACTTCGCCCTTTCAAAAGCAGGAAAACTATTACCAGGACTGTAAAAAACTAACCAAAGAAATGCATTTATGTTTCAGTTTAATAACAATTACTACATTTTGTAACGAATCATCATAAAAAATATCTTGTTTAGAGAAATGTATACCATTTTTAATTAATATTGCTACGCCATCATGATCATTACCGCAGTCATTCCTAATAATGGTATAACCACGTAAATTAAATTGAATGCTAGGCTTGAGCCAAGTTTCTGAAATAAGAGCTACATGTATATTATTTTGGTATAGAAAATTTTGAAACTCAAGTCTGTTACTTAACAGACTTTGAGCGTTCCACTGTACAATATTTAAGATTTGGTGGTTGAATGTGACGATTTGCTATTTTTGTCCTGGATGGTTTCTTTAATAGCTGAGCTAATAAATTGTGAACTAATACTTATATTTTGAGTTTTATTTAAAGTTATAACTTTTACTATATATTCTGTTAATAGAGCTATTGCTTCAGAATTAGATAGTATTGCTTGGATTACTTCTTGGGTATTTAATTTTTATTAAGGGAGGGAAAATTTAATGAATCTTTTAACGTGTCAGCATATAACGGGTTTACTGTTTGCGATTTTCTTTTACATTATAGGGCACTGGCTAGAGATGGCCATGTGATTGCCATTACAATTAATGCACTTAGCTTTTTCAATGTTAACCTTGCATTCTTTGAAAGAATGCCCCTCTGTGCATATGGAGCATCGCGGTGAATTTATACAAAACTTAGCCAGATGAGCATAGCGTAGACATTTAAAACACTGTTTTATAGGTGGGACATATGTGGAGACAGGCAGGCGCCACATCTTAATGTGAACATAGCCCGGCAGTGACGTAGCAGACGCAAAAGTTATTACTACGCTCTGAGTAGGTTGCAGTGTGAAGGTGTTATTTTCTCCTTTTACTTTACGCATTATGCGTCGGACAGAAATGACTTTTTTTTGTTGTTGATATTGCTTTATATATTTTGTGATTGAATAGATGAGTGGACACGCAATCGGAATCGCTGCTTGTGCTGAAATTCAGGGACTCACCCGAATCCTTCTTTCTAAGTTTTTTCACCTTCTCTCCACATAACACTTATATATAGACTAAATTTTACTTCTTTACAATAAACTAAACGAAAATTTGCAAATCTGTACTAATATTATAAAGCTGAAGAGTTTGTTTGTTTGTTTGAACGCACTAATCTCCGAAACTACTGGTTCGAATTGAATAATTATTTTTGTGTTGGATAGTCCAGTTATATAACATCACGCTACGACCAATAGGAGCAAAGATATAGTGGTAAATGTAAAAAACGGGAGAAATTATTTCATCTTTGAAGCCTTCCGTTGCGTGCGCCGTTAAACGGTTCAAGATACACAAAAAATATGTACTAAAGAATAATAGCTCTTTTAATGATCTAAAAACCAGTCCGGGACAGTATATGTCTATCTTTTAAGATTAACTCACAAAAACCGTTTTTATGGTACCTAATTTGGTCGAAATAATTTGTGTAAGTTGTATCAACATAATAATATTAATCTTTATTCAAATAAACAAATAAAATATGTTGTTGGTTAAGAGTACTTCATTGTGAATAAAAAAAAAATAGGTTTTATCCTGAAAATTTTACGGGAACTCCACCATTCCGAAAACCCCGCAAGAACGGGAACTATGTGGGAAGAACCAAAAATCTGTCGGAAGTCACTATTCCACGCGGACGAAGTCGCGGCAAAAGCTAGTTGTAGTATAAAACTATTTAAAATAATTAAAATTTTCAAAAAGAACGCGTCAACGTTTCAATTCCCGCGCTCTTTTTTCATTTCTTACTTACATATAGTATGTAACTGTAAATAGTAGTACAGATGACAGTTTGCAATAAAGTGTAACCCCTCTTATTTAAAAAATAATTGTGTGTTAAATTATTTAATCTCTATTCTAGATTTTTTTTAACATATTTACAAGAAACTGTAGAAAGATTTTTTTGAATTGGTGTTTTTTAAAGTTTGTTTTGAGTATTACAATTCTTACAGGTTTTTATTCTGTGGTATTTTGGTGCCAACTGCGACTGTTGTAGTGTTGTCTGTTGCAGACTTTTCTTTCATCATAATTCATATTTTATATGAAGCCACAGTTGTTCCAGTTATAAATAAATAGGCTTTGTGACATTTTAGTGGTAATAATAAGGTCTGAGACGTTTGGAAATGGAAAGGCGGTAGTGTAAACAGTTTAGTGTGTATAACTTTTAGCTGTTATTAACTTTTCATATATATTTTGTCATGTCGTCGACGGCATCCAACAATAAAGAATCCTTTGAAGATTTCTATTCAGAGGTAAGATTTTTCTCACTTTTTTGTCTCTTAATGAGCTGCACTCAGTTTCTTTTAAAGACGAACATAATTTTTAACATTGTCTATGTCAAATCTACTTTATGTAACTATTATGTATAAATTTTAACATTAATATTTTAGGTTAAAGAAATTGAGAAAAGAGATTCTGTTTTAACTCCTAAACAACAAATAGAAAGGTTGCTTAGGCCTGGGTCTACTTATTTTAATTTGAATCCATTTGAAGTTCTACAAGTGGATCCAGAAGCTAATCTAGATGAAATTAAGAAGAAATACAGAAGACTGTCCATTCTAGTACATCCAGATAAAAACATCGTAAGTTTTAACTAATATATCAAGTTTACAAAATATTATAGACAAAATAATCATAGTAATATCACTGCATTTTAAAAACTACTGAAGTTTAAATAAAATTAGGATGCCATGGTCTTTATATTACGAAATAAGCATTTTGTAGGGTATTGACTTTTGTATGACATTGTTTAGAATAGCGAATTCGTAAATCGTATCTATGAACCACACAATTAGTTGTAAGCCATATTAAAGGAGCCCGTAGCCATTTCCGTTGAGACGGTATATCCGTCAACATTTCGTTTTTATCCACAGATCGAACCTCACCAATGGGTCAACCAGAGCTACTCCATAATAGGTAAGGAATAGTGGATTGATGGAAGGTTAGCACAACCTTCTACATAAACAGCACCCATCAACAATTTGATTACAATTTATAATAATGTATACAAAAAAAAAATATTGAAAATTAATCTGTTAGTAATTACAGTAGAAACCTGATTAACTGGACTAATTGTTGTCGATAGGAATTTGGATAATCGATAATCTGGATAACTGCAGATTAAGTCATGAATTAAAATAATAAGTTTTATATGGTTTGGAATATTTTTAATTGTCTTTTAATGTATGCTACTCTCAATAAAACACTCTCTTTTTTAATATGTATTTATAAGTAGATGTGAAACACATCAAGGCAAGTAACAATTTGCTAACTAAGTAGAACTAATACCAATAACGAAACTCGCGGGGTAGCAATCGTTTTAGCGAATTGGACTTGTAAGTTTTAGGTATTTCATATAATTGGTCATTAGTCTGGACAATCGCAATTCCGTATAACTGAGGGCCGGATAATCGAGTTTCTACTGTACATTATTTCGTTTCTGCAAGTAAATTTTATTAAGTTATTTTAACTACTATATAATAAATTATCCTTACAGGATGATTCGGAAAGGGCTCAACAGGCGTTTGAGATAATAAACCGGGCTTGGAAAACGCTGGAAAATGAGGATACAAGGAAAAAGTGTCTCGATATATACCAGGAGGCTAAAGAACGCACTGACCATATGGTAAAGCTTATATAAAGCAAGCAAATAGCAATATAAATACATTATGAATTGTTAATAAACATAAATGTTAACTATATAATATATATTTATTTTTCAGATAGAACAAAAACGTAAGAAGCTAAAAAAGGATGGCCGATTAGCAGAAGGAATACCAGAAGACGATCCCGACAAATTCAAACATTCAGTTTATGTCATGACCATGAAGGTTGATATCTATCTAAATATAAATTTAGGCACACATTCTATTTATCTATTTATTTATATAATATTACCATCATCACCTGTATTAAAATTGTTAAAATGTACGTAATATTGATAAAAAACTATAGAGTCCTATAAAAATAAAATAAATACACAAATTACAACCATACAACTGAAAGTGTCACAAATTATATTAGCTTAAAAAAAAGAGTAAATATGTATAAAAAGTGTGACTAATAATTTCATATATAAATCATAGCAGTTACAAAAGGTAAATCTAAAGTTCTCATAAAAATATATTCATAGATATACCCCAAAAGGTTAGTTGTTTTTAGAGTGACTAGCATAAGGTGAGACTTGAAAATCAGGAAGGTTTTTTGTTATAAACACATCTAGAGCTTCCAAAAAAATAAATCTCTAAATTCTGTGGCCATACTTATCTACTTGTTCTCGAACTTCACAAGGCATTTAGATGGTCTAAATTGTGACCTTAATAATAACCTACCACATAAGTAAAGAACACCACATGTATTTTTGTAGTGGCATAAAGTTTAAGTTTATAGTTACAGAAATTATCAGAATTATTATTGATATTTTGGTTACATACAACATATCTTTGTTGGACATATCTGTTAGCTGGTCACTTGGTATAAGTTAATGGTATTAACTTAATACAACTTAGGATCAACCATCATAACTTGATCCTTAATGATGCTACCATTACAAGAAACTGTATTACTTGCCAAAAATAGAGCTTTACTTCAGAATTATTGAGAATTTAAATGAGTATCACTGCTGTGATATTGCTTTGTAAATTCACTCCTAACAATAATATTATTTTGCTCTAACCTGATAGTTTTGCCTGTTCATTAATGAAAGTCCTACATAATCTTTGGTTATAGCTTTTTACTATTCCACTCTCTAATGATGACCATTTTTTTTTGCCCAATTACCACATAAAATAAACTTAAAGTCAAACTTAGGCCACTAAAAGTGTTAAATATAATAGGAATAATTTTAATTTGTTAAGATTCTTAATTGCTAAACAAATGTGTAATAAGAAGTTGTATATATATTTTAAGTTTTAACCACATCGCAAGGACTTTAGCAGAGAGAATTAATCTTTTTAACCCTTCCACTATATCCAACAAAAATATTGTTCGCTATAAAGTTCCCTAATTAATAAATCCAGAATATGTTTTTACTAATAATATATGACCTAATAAATATCTAAATTATTTGTTACAGCTGTTTGCAGACATGGAACGTAAACGCCAACATCTTGAAACAAGAGATATGGAAGAAAGGAAACGTAAGAGGGAGGCTGAGATAGAACAAGAGGAACAGATGTCACTTGAAAAGGAATGGGCCAAAAACTTTGAAGTATGACACTCAATACTAACTACTATTATAGAGAACAAGTTAATTTTTCTTGAAATGAAACTAATATTTTGCTGATATACCTACTACGCGACTTTATTTTTGATAAAAACTACTTACACCAGACGTTTCGGATAGTTTATAGCAACCGTGATCATGAGCAGACGAGATGTGATCACGGTTGCTGTAAAGGAATGGAAACGTTGTAAGTATGTAGTTTTTATCAAAAACAAAGTCGCACAGTATATCCTCAAAATATTAGTTTCATTTAAATGAATAGGACTCGCGAAAATCTCAGATCTCATTAAGTTAATTTTTTGTTAGAAAAATGCAATAAATATTCTGATATAATTATTTTAATATCTGTTAAAATTTGATGTAGCAGATATATATAAATATAAATATTATTGTATGTTATACTTTAACACGAGAACAAGATTCATGATTTATCTGTAACTAAAATTAAATAATGACAAAGTTTAAGGACCTATTATAGTAAATAGTAATAATATATATAAAATATAATTTTATTACAGGAATCAAGACAGAATCGAGTAGATAGTTGGAAGAACTTCCAATCTGGTAGCGGGAAAGAAAAGAAAAAGAAGAAAATAATGGGCTTTAAACCACCGAAACCCAAACCGGAGAGTAGATAACTAGATGTAGTTTAACAGTTTAATAATATTAATGTGAACTAAGAAAACTATAAACACTACAAGATATATGAGATTAAAAATATATTTGAACGATTAATATTGGTGACTTAATAAGAAATTTAAACTAAAGATATTACTGAATTATGTTAATATTTGTTTTTTTCTGTATATCAGAATGTCTCAAGTCTTCATGATTAACTCATGACGCGAATATCAAGTGTATTTGTAGTTTTCATAGCTAAGTCTCAACTGTTTAACTTATTTAGGACTTCAATATGATCCATCCATAATTAGAATAAAGTTTATATGTAAAATGATAGAACTGTTTATACAGTCATCATTCTTAAGGTTTTGCTTTATTTAATTCCTATTACAAAGGATAAATTATGCACCCTCGAAATATAAAGTATATCACAAGGAATAGTTTTCTCAAGCTTATTATTATTATAATATGAATATTTGTTAAAATTCATTAATGTTCCACATGTCCGTTATAGCTACTTGTATATTTTCTGTGATAATCTTCAACAGTTCAAAAGTATTTGTAAAAAAACTCATTATGAGGTGAAGAATCTGTCTTCATGCGGGTTTTATTACGAGGGCTGCTATATATATTTCTGGCCTAATAATGAAAATACGAATATTTATCAACGAAAATGGTTTTATTGTTTTTCAAAATATTCTCCATCAAGATTTATACACTTTTGCATGCGCTCGAACCAATTTTCGAAGCACTTTTTCCACTCCGATTGAGACACCTCCAAAACATGGTTTTTGAATGCTTCAACAGCATCTTCTGGCGACGAAAATCGTTGTCCACGCATTTTTTTCTTGATGTGTGGGAATAAAAAGAAGTCATTGGGTGCCAAGTCAGGGCTGTACGGCGGATGACCCATCACTTCGACGTTTTGGCCGGTCAAAAGGCGCTGGTTTGAGCCGATGTGTGAGAGCTCGCATTGTCATGGTGCACAATGATTCGTCTTCTCTTGTTCATTTTTCGAATTTCTCCGAAGACTTCAGGCAAACAAATGGTGGTATACCACTCAGAATTGACCGTCCTACGTTGCTCAAGCGGAACAGTCGCCACATGACCAGTTTTGCCGAAGAAACAGGCGACCATTTGCTTCGAAGTGCTTCTTCCACGAACAACTTTCGTTGGATTTGGCTCGTCTTGGAAGACCCACACGGTCGATTGCTGTTTTGTTTCGGGCTCATACGCATAGATCCATGATTCGTCACCTGTGACGATCTTATAAACGTCTTTTGAAGCACTCGCGATCATATTTTTTCAGCATTTCTTTACACCAATCCACACGAGCTTTCTTTTGAGCGATTGTCAAATTGTGCGGGATCCAACGAGAACAAACCTTTTTTACGGCCAGGTGTTCATGCAATATCGAATGTATGCTGGTGGGAGAAATGCCTAGGCATGCCTCTATCTCACGGTAAGTCACATGACGGTCTTGCATTATCAGTTCACGTACGGCATCGATGTTTTCTGGCACAACGGCTGTTTTTGGACGACCTTCACGGAATTCGTCTTTGAGCGAGCGTCGGCCACGATTGAATTCGTTGTACCAGTTTTTCACAGTGCTATATATGGTTCGTCGCCATACAAGATTTAAGTTCATCGATGCACTCTTGTCGTGATAATCCACGTCGAAAGTTGTGAAAAATGATCGCACGAAAATGTTCACGAGTTAATTCCATTTTTTTGCCAAATTGATTTCTTCAAGTACTTGTAAAAGAAAAAAAAAATTGTCGTAAGTCAAAAAGTTCTGAGTACATTTATGCTAAAAAATGTCAAACTTTCCAATGGAAATGCCAGATTGCACCTGGCAACACTTAGTGTTGCCTAGGCCAGAAATATATATAGCAGCCCTCGTAATATTATATCTACTCGGTAATTTTCATTGACTTGTTCATGAATTCGCATTAGACAATAAAGAATTAGAAACTATAACTGTTTTATTTATCTTGTGATATTTCTGAACGTAAATATACTTTTTATAAATAACTTGAATATTACTTTTACGCATTATCCACCATTCTGAATAATATGACATTGTGACAAAAATAATAGGACAAATAGGTTAGTGTTTCAAAAGCAAAAAATTTGGGACTTCAATGCAATACGATTTTAGATTATACAAATCACTAACATGTGTCTTAGAAGACGACGCTTAATAAGAATTATCAATAATTAAGGCTATGAACATAATATAGTCATTTTTATTACAACCACTTTGAAGACTAAACTGAAGAGACATGGTCAACTGTTGGGCCTTTTATAAGTCTTATTCTTAACGAGAATTTGCATTAAATAACATACTCCGATTTTTCATTCCTATTCTTTTTACACGGTAGTATTAAATTATTAAGGCATGTAGGAAAACTATATTCATTTTACCGTTGCATAATACGTGATAATTGTACTTACTGGTCTTTTAGTTGTAGTTTTTTATTCTAGTCACAGTTTTATAAGTCAATATAGCAATTGAATAGGGCAACAATGAAAGTAACAAGCTCCCGCGATAGTAATTTTCAATAATATTTTAAAAATCTTTATTTATTACTGTTAGTAAAAAATATTCTGTTACGACGCTTAAAATAGATAGGCAAATCAAAATTTTAAATTTAGCTTTTATTTGACAGAAGACTTCACCACTATATAAAGTAAAAAAATCAATATCTGGCACATTAGAAAAGAAAAAAATAAACTTCATAATTTTATAAATATCTCTTAGGGGCTGACAAGTGTCATGAAAACAGGAAAATGCGTTCCAGATTATTAGCAATTCACAAAGGATTTGCAAGTATATCACAGAGCAGAAAATTGTCTACAAAACCTTGTAAGTTTTTATATATTCAAGTAGATTCGATTATAGTCGTTTCAAGTATCACAAATCGCGTTAATCTAGATGCTTTTTGCTCTTGTTAAAAACAAAACTATGTGTTTTTAAATATTACGATCTTAAGAAATTTCGCAAATATAGCCAAAGTTAAGACAATTTTATTAAGCTTATACTAATACATACAGCGCCATCTTGTGGGATGTGGATGCGCTTATGATTTTATATACAATTTTTTTTTTGTATATAGCAGTTTCTTCATATTGTTATATTTACCAGCTCGATGTCAGCCCCACATGAACGAACTGCCCGTGCCCTGTGGGCCATGGGACCCATGGTACAGACAAAAACAAAGGTTCTATATGAGGCATTTTTTGTTGGGACTCGCTTGGTATGTACTATTGAATATGACTTTGAATTACTAAACCTTATATCGTTGAATATACAAGTACCTATTTTATTTACGTGTTTCTACAATTCCAAATACTTCACAGTAACCGTGACTACGGTAAGACTCAACCGAATTGTAGTATTTTTTGTCCTCATGTCTTAATATTTTACAGGTGGCTGTTCTCTTTTGGTTTGGCCATATACACTGATAGTTTATATCTCAACTTTTCCCCGCCAGCATTTCCATCTCCTCCTAGCGATTTTGTGGAAGAGTGCGATGATTCTGATACGTGATATGCCAGACTTTGATAGAAGGGTTTATTTTAATTTATATACCATTATAAAGATACTAATTATTTAGCATTCCGAGTAACGAGTGGCGATATTATATGTCGCACGTTTTAAGCTAAAGATATTATTTTCTAATTATTTGCATAATTAGTTGTACAAAACCGATAAAAGCATTGTTTTTCATCACGAGTTTCATTTAACTTTCATCTATATAATGACATTTGCAAAATTATTTAACTTTAGTATAATTTATTCAGCCGTTTTATACTCTACGTAAAGTTATAGATGTTGATCATTGAGTTTCAAGTATAAAACAGAAAAACTCGAGCAAACATACGTTTTAATAACAAATAAGACAGGTGATTTTATCTTCCATACTTTTACAAATGCAGCTGTTGGCAATTATGTGAGATATAAAAGATCTAGTCAATTCTTCATCTTAGCAGAACAAGCCAGTTTGTTTACAATATTTATCTTGTTTCGTTGGCTCTACTTACCCAATTAAAAACAATTATTTAATACAAGAAAGCCATCGCAAAGACCAAACATATTTAAGCAGGAGTACATGAATTAAGAAGAGGTTTTTCAACGTATCCTTGTAAGTTTAAGAGGAGATGTAGTCAAATAAGACAACCAATGAAATTTTGAAAACAATATCAAATTTAATACATAAATAATATTTATGTACTTCTACATACATGTTTTCGTCTATATATTTACATTTTAACACAATTTTTCTATCTTATAGCGAACTTATCTAATTCTTTGACATTTTGTCTTAATATTGTTACATCTATCAATTAATAATGCAACTAAATAATAATAAAAAAAAATACCAAACATAATTTTTTTAACATTTTACATAATAAATTACTGAATGTCTGGGGTTTTTCGTTTTAAATATATTTATAAACGATGCGTTTAGTCTAATATAATATAATATATATATATATATATATATATATATATATATATATATATATATATATATATATATATATAATAGTTCGTAGAAGTCTCTACAAGCAATGTATGATACTATATTTTATACATTATGTAAATTCACTACAACCTATACTATGAAATATACGGTCCATTTACATTGAATATATCAAAAAACCTTATAATAAATAACATTTTGAACACTTATCTTCTTTATGAAGCCAAACAACATGATAGTCATATCAAAATATAAACCTAACAATAAAAAATATGTATAAAAATAAAACAATTTGGTGTTCAATTAAACTTCATATAAATGTAATGAAAAATAAAAAGTTGTTTAAAAAGTTCTGTTCAAACATCGATGCAAATGAATATTATTAACATTTTCCAATCTCAGAACTACAAGCGTTCTTTCTGGGTACAGCGATACATATGTAATTGACCACAATATATTGACAACACTTACCAATAATACATTTAATATACCAAACGAATTTATTAAATTAACAAACATCAACAATGATGCCTTCACAAAAATGGTCACTCAAGTTGATTTAGAGATTTGTTGATCAATTTGTTTTAACTACGGTCAATCATTTGGCAATATATAAAAAATACAACCGCTTTCAACCGTTCTAACCGACTCAGTCAAATAATAAGTATAATAACATATATTTTTTCTACTTATCATACAATGAATGGTTGCAATCTCATTCCGTATGTATTGGTGCGCGAGTTATAAAATGTATTACGTACCATTTTTTTTTATAATAAAGTTAAAAGCGAAGCCTTTTGTGAATATTTCGTTTAAAATATTATCTATAGCACCAATGTCAGCTGTGTGTATTGTATAATAAATACACAAATAAAGCCAATTATTGTAATATATAGCGTTACTATAGAATATATTAAACAACACGGTGTAACGCGGGACCGAATAGCGCGGCGCTCCTAAATATATGTATATGGACGTCAAATATTACACGAATTGACTTATACGTACACTAATTGAACACTTATCGGATAGCTATCACAAACAGTTCACTGAGGTAATTCATATGTGAACTAGCGTTGCTCAAGTGACGTGACTCGTGACTCGTGAGGCTCTGTACTGCGTGTATAAGCTTATTCGAAGTATTTATTATCTGGGACTAGAGTTCTGACTATGACGGCTTTTGTTTGTGCTAGAAATGTCATATGACACTAACTGAACGATAAAAATAACGTGAATGTATAAACATTTACGTTTAAACTACCAGGCACGATTCATTACTAATGTTTAAGTTTTCATTAACTTGGACATCTAAGAGTTGAAATTTTTACTATATTAAACGATCAACGCAGCTTCAATGTTGAGCAATTTATTACAAAACATATAAATTTCACAATCAACTTAACAAATCTTTTCCTATGTAACCATACGTTATCTTTTCTTTCTTTACCTTGTAACGTAAAAGTCAAATATGTTTATTTTTAGTAAAACAACTTGGAAAAACATGGATGACCGATGGGGGTTTGAATGAAGTAATAAAAACTTTTCTCATGAAACACCAAACGTGAACTTTGAACTGAATGAAGCCCTAACCGAATGCGCGACTAACATTAATTCATTTATACTATTTTACAGAACATACACGCGAGGCATTATAAAAGAATCACATAATTGAAGCAGTCATCACTAATTATGGTCATTTGTTTGATGTGTTCGACTCGTAGGCGTTTTTTGACGACTCAAGGATACCTCCTTACGTAAATCCTGAAACAAAAGATGTTAATATTTATTAATAGGTACGATCAATAAATATATTATATCGGTAACTAGGGATTTTGTTTTTCAGTCATGTTCGTAAAAATATTGTTTCTCAGATACTGACAAGATTTTCTAAGTACTAGTGTAATATGCTTATTACTTAATTCATTTTAAAGGGATAAAGTATTTTATATGCACCACCTCTACTGTTTAAATTTCTACCGTGTATATACCGAAGTGTAGTTATAACTTTTTTCAAAAACCCAAGTATACTGTAATAATTCGGTAATACAGTAATCAGAATACATTCGTAATCTATTTTCAGTTATAATATTCCAGTAATATTTGTTTCCAGTTGGTAATCTAGACGTAATTAATATAACAGTGTGTTGCGTCATCGTAATCTCAATTTAATTCTCACGCATTCTATTTGGATCAGCTTTTCTTAGTTCTGCTGAGTCGGTCGAGTGTAAATCGTAACCTGCCCGCCGCACTGACGCCAACCACCCCTCCCGCAGGTGAAGAATAGTGATTGGACTACATACAGATATTTATCGATGATTTTTTAAACCGATTTTTTTTTGTGACGCACTACAGTATAAATACGACGTAATTACTAAGTGGAGGTTTTAATTAATTTTATTCATAAAAATATATCCAATTCCAATATTGTATTATAGACTTTAGTAGCTACTTATGTATGTAATTATTAGAATATTAATTGTATATTTAGTGTAAACTTAATACGCAATTGAGGAATAAATCTAAAATATTGTGAGTGACGATAATTCAAAATTATTATTATCGATAAATATAAATCATGGAAGCACTATAAATGTGTCGCGTATTCAGCAATGTAACGGACTTTCTCCGTTCATTGCTAAGAATAAAGTGAACATCTTAATATGGGATGTAGATAATTGGCTTTCGGCGAAATAAAACAGTCATAAACCACGACGGTAGAAATAAGGCTTATAATATACTAGTAGGAAGGAAATATAACTTAAAAATATATGAACGTTGGGGTAATATAACTATATTTAAAAGTGTAAAAATGTTTTTACTTGAATAAAAAAATAAAGAATTTTTTTGTTCAGTAGGTCAAAGTCTGTTTTTATTTTTTCGACAATTTTATCATTAGCTAATATGTATACTCATGTTTGTTACAATACCTTGATATTACTAATTATTTGTTCACGTTATCGTGCATAATATACAACTTTTCCAACATTTATAATAATAATAATAATAATAATTTATTTTTATCTCAGACATAGTCCATATTTAAATATTAGTAATACATGTCAACCTTATAACTAATGTTAGTAAAAGCAAATGATAATAATAATAATAATAATAAAAACAAACAAAACAAAACAGAGACAAACACAAAAGATAAAAATCGCTATTTTTAGGCAGCGTGTAGCCGTACCCAGTGGCGCAGTATTTCAGAGTCCCAGCGGCCAGCCAGTGCACACAGAATGCTGTTCGAACTGGATCGCAACCTCTGAAGCGCAGATGCACTCCTCTTGCGAATAATAGCATAAAAGCTATCAACACGCCTCTCAGCAAACATTTCGGAGGCGCTACAGTAGCGCGGCAATCCGAACAGCACTCTGAATGCATGTACTGAACTCGCAGAGCGCTGTACGCGCGCTGTATACTTAACCCAAAGGCTGCAGGTGTAAAAGGATTGGCAATATGCCTTGAACAAAGTTAATTTTACACTCTCAGTACACCGTGCAAACCTTCGGGCCAGCATGTTACAGCGCACGGCCAGCGCCCTGCGCTCTCGCTCCAAATCATCGTCATCGCTGAGGTTGTCTGAAACCCAGTGACCCAGATACTTGAACTGTTCAACTCGTCTTAAAGCAATGCCACCAAGATATAAAGGTGGAACATTTATGGTTATTCAGTAATAAGTGTTATGAAAAAATATATTTAATGAGATCTAAGACTTTCGCGAGTATTCATTTTAACTTTTAAGTCAACGTAATATACGAATATGTGAAGCAAAATATCGTATCTTATATATATAAAAGAAAGTCGTGTTAGTGACTCCACTTATAACCCAAGAACGGCTGAACCGATTTAGCTGAAAATTGGCAGGGAGGTAGTTTAGAACCAGGAAATTGCAATAGGATACTTTTTGTCCCGTTCGACAGCATTCCCGTGGGACTTGACATGAAACGTCAGTCACTATAAAACGTGGAATAACACAATTCACAGCTATGAAATTGACGTATAATGACAGATATGTAATGACGTATGGATGACAATTAGATATTTGTAAGAAATCTACTATATA